ACCACTGACTGTATTCTCCAGCCCCCTGATGCTTCCACCCCTTGATTAATTTCACTTGTCTGTCTTTGAGGACATGGATAGGTGTGGATATTCCCCAACCCACTGGAGGCACCCTACATCTCCCAGGGAGAGACTTTGGCCTCCTTTCCTCTTCCCAGGCAGTGCAGGGTCAGTTAGAAGCCGCTACCGGACTCTCCTTTCTACCGAGCAAGTTTGAACCAGGCCCTCCTCCCAGTCTGTTTGCTTGTTAATTAAATGGAGACAGCGATGTCACGGGAAAGCCTTGGCCACGTCTGCAGCCCCGCCCTGTCTCCGGGCGCCTGTTCACCAGCACCTGGATGTCCTCCTGCAGGGCACAGCCAGCTCCTCCCTAAAATGGAATTGCTGTCTTGTGCCCAAACCTGTTTCCCCCATATTCTGCCTGGAGAACGGCAGTGCCAGCACCCAGGATCCCTCTCCCTGCCTCCCCCCACAACCCCTTCCTGATCAGTTAAGATCGCCGCCAGCCTGCTTTCATCCATCGGTATTGATGAGCACAGGGCGCGCTGCACCTGGATGCGGGGGTGGCGGTGGGGTGGGAGGGAACACAGACCAGTCCTCAAGGGTCTCCTCCTCGGTGGCGGGTGTAAGGAACGCGGGCAGCAAACAGATAGGGGAGAGAGAGGTGGCCCCCATAAGCACAGGACGATGGGGGCGTCGGGAGCTGAGATGAGGCGTCATTTCTGGTGGGAGGCTTGGTATAGGAGAAGAGGCGGCATCGGCTGGACCTTGGGGGCAGAGTAGGGTTTGGACGTGCTGGCAAGAAGATTCCGGACAGGAAGGCACAGTGAGGAAAGGGGACAGTGGGAGACAGGAAGGGGGGCTGGTGGGGCTGGGGAAGGCATGACCCCCGACAGACAGGCTTCCTAACTGCAGAGTCCAGGGCCACCACGGTACAGGTCAGAGCAGCAGGTGGGAGACTCAAGGGCGCTGTTTTCCCTCCTGGGGCTGGTGTCCTCTGTACCTGTGACTGCACAGGGAGCCCCCTTTGGATGAAGCCCCTCAGGCTGCTCACGAGCAAAGAAGCCAGCATCCCTCCCTTAGGGCCCAGAGGGTGGGAATTCGACTGCGGTTTGAGAAGAAAGACAACAGGAGTCTGCAGACCCAGGTAACCCAAATCAGAGGACTGGGCTCCCCATCGAGGCCGTAGATACGCTGTTGACTCATGTTTCAGATGTTGTACAGGAACTTAGGCCCCCATCAGATGGGCTGCCTGCTGACCACGAGCTCAGACCCCAGACTGGGTGCAGTCACGAGACGGACAGCTGAGATTCCTGAAACAGCCCCCACCCCTCACCACTGACCAGTCAGAGGAACGGACGCCCGCTGATTACCTGCAACCCTTGCCCACAGTTTTGCCTTTGGGAACCTTGCTTGTAAGGCTGCGGGAGTTCAGGACTTTCCGCCTTAGTTGCTGGGCCCTGGAACAAACACCCTCTTTGTGCCCCTGCATCTGATGTCTTGCTGCTGGCTGCACATCGGAGAGGGCACCCAGGTGTGTTGGCTTGGTGCCATGATATCCGTCCCCTGAGACTCCCTGGGCTCCGCTCCATGCTGAGGGCTGGGCCAGGTGGTGAGGACCACTCCGGTTCATGGCCCGGATGGGTGTTGAAAGAGCGACAGGTGTAGGCAGAGCAGGGCAGCAGGAAGAGAATGGCGCTCAGCGTGCGAGGTCCCCCTGGCAGGGGGCCTCGCCTCCCGAACTGTGCTCACCGCCGCCTTTCCGAGGACGGCCTTGCGCGATGTATATGCTTCGTGTCTTCTGAAACCTAGATGTGCCCAGGAGGTCTGACCATAAGGGGGTGGGGAGGGGGTCCGTTTAGGTTGGCATCACTTGGCACCCACCATGCTGCTCAGCGCCCTGGGATGTGCGCCCCCTGCACACCGGGCCCTTGTGCCCCTGCTCCACACGGCCGCACCCTCTCCTGGGTGTCTCCAAACCTCCCCAGCTCAAGGCCTCTCGAGTGCTAGCATCTGGAAGTTCTCCCTCAGCTCCTGGCCATGCAGCCCCCTGGGATTTCCCCATCAACACCTCTGCTTCTCAGTGGTGACTGGATATGCCCCACAGCCTTGCTAGTACTTGGAACCGCCAGGCTTTAATTTTTTGCAAGTCAGCGTGAGTCAGTATGTCGCCTCAAGGTGTGTCTCCTTGTATGGGTGGATATGAACTTCCAGCACGTTCTCCCTCACAGGCCGCGTGCCATCTGGCATCCTGTTTCAGGAAACACCTTTGTACCCTCTGTTCGCTTCTCCGCCCGGCCGTCTGTCATTTCTCTGTGGCCCGTGGGGTTCCCTACAGTCCGGGAGCTGCATGCCTGTTGCTGCTCACATTGCATCTTTCCCCCGAATGGGACTTGTCTCCTGCCTCTCTGGGTGGTGCGCTTTGAACATGCTTTGTGAATTTTGACACAGTCACATTTATAACCTTTACATTTATGGGCAACGTTTGAGTGTTTTGAAAGAAATCTTGTCCTTCCACAAGGTCTGAAAAAGATGCCCCTCACGTTTCCCTTCAATGTCTGGTGTCACATTTCTGTCTGGAACGTACCAGAGATTAACTGTGGCTGTGGGATAAGAGCCGGTTTTTTCCATGTGGGTGACCGATCCGGTCAGTTACTGAAGAGGCCATTCTCTCCCTACATGGAGCTGTGATGCCAGGGATGGGGGTGGGGTCAGGTGTTCAGAGAGAAGGACAGGGAAGCACCTCCGACAAGGGGCATCTGAGCAGAGAGCTGAGTGGAGGAGGCAGGGAGGGGTCCCCTAGGCAGAGGGAAAAACACCTACAAATACCCTGAGGTCAAGTGCCGGGTGTCGCAGGAGCAGCAAGGTCAGGGCCAGCGAGGGGCTAGGGCGGCAGACAGCCCTGGGCGGCCATGAATGAGCTCCTAGGACTACGGGCTCCGGGCTTTGCTCACATGGGGCTGGTGTCCCTGAGGCTGAGCAGGAGAGGCGTGACCAGGTGCTTCCACAGGGACCTTGTTGGCTTCTGCGTGGGCACTGACCTGAGGGGCCAAGCAGGAGGGGGGAGATGGTGGTGGCCTGGAGGGCGGGGATGGGGTGGGAGGGTGGAAGTTGTCAGATTCACAGCACATTTTGAAGGCTAAGGAGAGAATCTGGTGGTGGCCTGGATATGGCATGTGTGGGAAAGGGGGCCACGAGGTGAGGCCTCCCGTCCTCCGCTGCCTCCTGAAACTGCTGCTGGGGCCTCAGACCCCCGCCGGCCATCCGCCCAGGGACTGACCAGGGCGAGCTCTGCGGGCGTCCTTTCCATTCACTGATTCCCTCTCTGACTGTGACCAGCATAGAGGGTTCTTGACTGTTGCGTTTTAAGTGTAATTACTGTGTTTTCATTTACAGCATTTATTGTTTTTTTCATGTCTCCCCGTTTTGGCTCCATGACTTTCCCAGGCAGATATCGGGAGGTGGAGGCGCGCGTGGCCGGCGCTGACGCGGCCGGCGGGCCTCCGGGAGAGGGGCCGGCTCTCTGGAGGCGCACCCCGGAGCTGGCCGGGCCTCGGTGGTCAGGTCTGACCCCCAGTGCTGCTCCGGGGGCGCGTGCTGCGCGGCGCATGTCCTTTCCCAAGGCCGCCACGACCCCTCCGTTCGTCCCAGAGCACCCGCAGCACATGCGCGTCCGCTTTGCTGCTTCCCGGGGTCGACCTCGCCTGGGTCGGTTCGTGCTCCGATCGCTGGTGTGTTCGGCTCTTGGGCTTCGCGTTCGCTCTCCTCGCGCCCTCTGCGGGCGGGCTTTGCAGGCTCATGTGGAGCGGAAGCTTTTGGGTATTTTTTTTTCTCCCCCGAGGGTTCAGCTCTTCCCGCCGAGAGGCGCTGCGGCCGCTGTCCCTGGTCTCCCGAGCCTCTGGCCCGGAAACCGGCCTTGTGCTGGGGGCTGAGGACTGCGGTGCTGGGAATGGCACAGTGGGCGTCCTGGCCACGTTCCTGGAGGGGACGCTTCGCCCTCCACCTCTCCGGGCCCACCGCTTGCCCCGCCGGGGCTGCCCTCCGCACTGCGGTGACCCGGCCCGGGCTGACTTCGGCAGTGGGCACCCTCAGTCCTTCTGCTGCTGGCATTCGGGCTGAGCCCCGAGCTCCCGCCCCTCGGCTGGCGTCCGGGCCCGGGACCCAGCGGACCTGGGCTTCAGCCTTGCCCGCCACGTTGGCTCCTCTTGTCTCTGCTCCGAGGAGATGTTTATGCACACGTTTTCCACTCGGTTCCCCGTCCTGTTGGGCTGCCCCGGCAGTGTGCTTGTGTCGGGAGGGGACGCGGCACAGCGAGCGCACTGTGCTATCCTGAGCCCACACGTGGTCCTGGGTCTGGGGGCGCTTAGCCCGGGCTGTTCCTCTGAAAACCTCAGTGGTCCCGGAGCAGCCACGCCCCTTGGCGCAAGGCGGTCGCGTGGCTGGCCAAGAGCTGCCCAGGGGTCGATGGGAGAGGGACCGGTCGGGACCCAAGGCCGCCGCTCTCCTTCCTGCGGACTCGGAGCCCGACGTGACCTCAAACCCCCATGCGCTGCAGGCGTCCCATCCACGCCACGGGAAGTCGGGGTCGGCCCGGCCCAATCCCTGCCCAGCAGCCCACCGCACGCCAGACATTTCCAGGGAGCGCGTCTTGTGCCGCGTGCCCAAGCCTCCCCCGAGCCGCGCCCCGGGCCCTCTTCTGCCGTGAGCAGCAGCACCCCCGTGTTCCCAGCTGCGTGGGGGGCATCAGACCCCTCCGCCCCGCCCCTGTTGCCTCGCTCAGCATGGATGCTGGGTCATGAGCTCTGCAAACATGGCTTTGCCTTGACCCAGGGGGACGCGTTTGTTAGCCGAGAGGAAGCTCCTCCTCACGCCTGCACGCGAGGAAGGCGGCGAGCGGTCCCCGCAGGGCCTGTTATGGGGCGCGTTTTCTGGGGAAGCGTCTCCCTCTTGCGGCCGCCGCGTTGCACTTCACGACGCCCTCTGAGCCCGCCTGCCGGCTCCGGCGGGGCTTCTGCGCAGCTCCAAAGTCCAGCCAGATGTGGGGGGCGAGCGCCATCACAGAGCCCTCCACCTGGCCCTCTGGCCCAAACCAGCGCGTTCTGCAGTGGCGACTGGTCACGGAGGGGCAGAGCTCAGCTTCCTTTTCCACGCTTCTCACAGTTTCCCGGGCGCAGATTTGCACATGGTTACAGGTATGCTAATTAATATTACTCCCCGAAGTTCCAGAAGCTATTCTTTTCGGTGGCTTCTTCGCTCGGGACTTTGTCTCTACTCGCTAAGGCTGCAGCAAACAGCCTGCTTCCCAGACGGAGGGAGGTCGGAAGTCAGAAGCACAGCCCTGGGCGGGGAAGGGATGTCCCCCTCCAGGCTGCATCTGGGCCAAAGGTCGCACCGGGGCAGCAGGCCCTGCCGCGCTGTTCTCCCCGGGGTTCTCTCCTGCCTCTCCTGTTCTCTCCATTCTCTGCATCGTGCGTCTGCTTGGCTGTCACCTCGGCCTACCCCCAGCTTGCCGAGGTCCCTCAGACATCTCCCCACTGCTTCCACCTCATGCCCTTCAGCCCAGGCACTCACACCCCTGACTGATGTTCTTGGCATTTCCCAGTGCTGTTTCCTGAGACACAAATCTCACTGACCCCCAGCCACACAAGGGTCCTTGCTGCATCAAAGTCAGTCTCTGGCCAGCCGGTTCTCATCAACTGAGCAGGCGAGGTTGTGATAGAAGCTGGAGTGGCCCAGGGGTGCCTTTGAGCAGGGCTGAAGGTGGGCAGTTTCCTTTAGAAGGGCTGTGCGCACGGCACGCCACTGGGCTACTGGCTCCTGAAGCTCCTAGTTAACAGCTGTGAGTCGGGCCCTTGTCTGGAGGCCGAGGGGCTTGGAATGCGTCGGGGAGGGCTGGGCGCCCCTGCAGAATGAGAGACCAGGGCGTCTGGTGGCGGGGTTCACCTGATTCATGTGTCTTGCAAGGTTTCCCATTATCAGTGTGTGGTCAGGGTTGAGGATGGGCACAAAGACTAGGTGTCCCCGAGACGGCCATAGTCAGGACCCCCGGTGGGCAGTTGGTCAGCTGGCTGATGCCGGATGTCACACTGGAGCAGAGGATGTAGGGAGGAGTGCGGAGGGCACGCTGCTCCTGCTGTCGGAGTGCCACTTCCTCCAGGAAGCCGTCCGAAGCAGACCTTCGGTGAGCTTGGGGTGGGAGGAGCCCTCAGGAGCTGTGCAATGCCACGCTCACCTGGCAGCTCGTGCCACCTTGCCAGGGCCACCCGGAGGTCACCTGCCTCTTGGCTGGCCTCGCACGTACAGGCGTCCTTGCAAGGATGTGGTGCATGAGCTCCACGCAAGGACACTGACGCGTGGGTCGGGGACACAGGACGCTCTAGGGGGAAGCGGGAGGAAGTAACGAGCACTTTCCATTGCTTGGCGCACGGTTTTCCATACGTGGTGCCTAAGGGTGCGCTTTGCATCGTGATTGTCACTGTTCTGCTCTCAGCGGAGGAAGCAGTGTGGAGGTGCGGCTGGGCTGGTGTGGTCATTCACGTGGCTCTCTAGCAGATGCTGCTCGCTTAGGAGCGGAGGCGGCCACGCTGGTAAGTCGCCTGCCCCGGCTCGTGTCCTTCTGCACTGCCCATCGTTGGAGGCCCCGTGGGAGTAAACAGCAACAGGGTTCATGTTTTTTTCCCTCCTTAGGGGACGTTCTATTCACATATTCTGAAGTGCAAGAAACAAGGAATTTTATCCAAAATGACAGCAACCCCTGAGAAGAAAAGCGACCCCCCACTCGGTGTGACACCCCCAAGGTTCTCTCGGTGAGACGCGCAGCCCCCGGAGAGCCGAGCAGGGCTGGGCTGTGTGGGGACGATAGGCTGTAGCATGTGATGGGCTCAGTCTGAAAGCTGCATCTAGGTCCAAGTTAGAGTTTTTCTGCCCTGCAGAAATTTGGTTTCATCAGTCTGGCGAGGGACTGAGCAAGCCGATTTTTGAAGGCTCCCTGGGTGATTGATTCTAAAGGAGCAGCAGGGCTGAGAAGCACCAGTGAAGCCCAGTCCTTCAGCACAGAGGAGGAGAGGCGCCCTGAGAAGCAGGCGACTTGCTTGAGACGACCCAGCGGGTGGGAGCTGTACGGAGGGCGGCCACTCGTGGCCCCTCTGCTGAGCCCCAGGATGCAGGGCCAGGGGAGGACAGGGCCAGACAACTCGCTGGAAGAACGTGAGAACCACCTTGCCTCTCAGCACAGGTGGGGCGCAGGCACTCAGTGCTCAGTAGGCGCGCTCAGTATGCGCCCTTGACCACACGCACAGGCGGCTGGTCCTCAGAGCGCAGGTCCACTATCCTGAGCTGAAACCGCCTGTGACTCATGCCAGGAAACTGCCTGCTCTTGTTCTTTGGGTGAAAGGGAAAACGTTGTAGGAAAAACACCCAAGAATACACTGGCTTGAAGAATGTCGAGGTTTTTTTTTTTCTCTCAGTTAATACCTGTGGTGAGCAGACAACTCATTTAGCCCCAAGGGCATCCAGGGGCCCGGCAGCACCCCAGGGTGTTTGCACCGCTGAGGACAGCAGGGACGCAGGGTCTTCTGGGCTCCAGAGGAATGTGCAGGGACACAAGGAGGCATTTTAAGTGGCACAGCTCATGTCCGCTCATGTGGCCAGTGGAAGCCATGTGCAGCTACAATTCTGTGCCTGTAAGAGAAGGCAGGTCTTGGTGACCAATGAGTGTCTCCACGGCAGCCCTCCGGGAATTTACTCCTGGGGCCCTCATGCTGTCGCTCTTCCAGCGGAGAAGACGTTGGAGCCCCTCCCGTGTGTCAGGCAGGCCGGGAGGGGAGCACAGAGCAGGGGGCAAGGCTAGATAGAGGTTTTAATCCAGAGAACTTTCCCTGGAGGCAGCATTTAGACTGAGCTTGGGAGATGAGTGGCTTTACAAAGAGGGGTGCACCAGGCAGGAGACACAGCTGTGCAAAGGCCCAGAGGTGGGTGATGAGGGATGGGGTGCATGTGACAGCATAGCCGGAGGGGCAGTAGGGGCAAGACTCATCACAAAGCCGGAGCACAAACTTCCAATCAGACGTTTCAGGAGAGAATCCAGCGGCATCTACGCACTGAAGGGAACTTCGGTGGGATTGGGCCTCCACATTTTAACCTCAATTGAAGAGAGAAGAGAAAGAACCTTTTCAGCTCATCTGAGCTGAGCTCCTGAATTCCCCTCACGAGGTTATTGAAGGACGGACTCAGCCAGGCTTTGGGAATGTAGCGTTCATCGTGTGATACCGTGATGGGCTTGCTTGAGCCCATCTGGACCTCAGGGTGGTAGAGTGGGAAGAGGGGACCGAGGGTGTGTGCTGGTTGTGGGAGATGGGCCTCAGACTGGGGTGAGGCCACACCCCTCAGAGCCCAGGCCTGGGAGGCCTGGCATGTTGCTGCTGGGGAGGGAGGAGTGAGGTCAGCCCAGTGAAGGTGGCAGGCACCGGGAGGCAGGCAGGTGGGCACGGGGCCTTCAGCTGTGTGGGGGCCTGTGCAGGTTCCCGGGGGAGAGCCGCAGCACGGATAGCTGGTCTCAGGCATGCCTGCCGTGGTCCTGCTGCAGGGAAGGTGCCACTTCTCCACGGACACAGGGAGCCGCTGCCTGCCTCCATCTTGAGCTGGTGCCTTTTCCATCATCACTGGCTTCGGGAGGTCCCTGCACGCTCCCGCAGTGGCCAAGCTCCCGGCTACGACCGGAGCCTGATGACTAAGGCCTGAACCCCAGGCCTCGGGGTCTGACTTCCCAGGCAGGCAATCGCAAACTTTGCTGTTAAGGGCCATCTCCTTGGTTATTGGACGTTGCTACTTTCTTGTCACCCAGTCTATGTTAATTGTTTTTCTGACAATTTTTCTTGTAAGCTGTTTTTGCTGTAAAGCAGCTGGGGTTGCTGCTGTGCGTGTGGTGCCACCTGTCCAGTGCAGGAGCCTCAGGACACAGTGCCTGTGTGATGGAGTAGATGGCCTCTCAGGTCTTTCTCAAGACCTTATGAATACGGACGACACAGAAACTAGAACTGTGATAATATCTTCCCAACCACACATTGGAACAGGTGGCCTAGTAGTTCAATAACTCATTCATCACAAATGGTTACTAAACTCCTACTGTGCGCCAGGCATGCAAAGGGCTGGAGATGCAGCAATGACTGGGTTACAGGCCCGATGTTGGAATGGCCTCCCACTCGTGGGGAGACAGACCCACACATGTGTCGTTATGACGCGGTGTGGTGAGTACCGGGATATTGCAAGCACAGAGGAGTGGCACCTAACCTGGTGAGGGTGAGGGCAGGTTTCCTGGAGGAGGGGCCGAGGGAACTGAGTTTTAAGGAAGCAGCAGAAGTCAGCCAGGCCAGGCCAAGGGGAACGTGCAGGTGAGGAGAGGAGGTGAGCTGCTTTCCTGCCAGAATCGCCCAGTTTAACGTGATGAGGTCAAAGGAAGCCACATGAGGGTCACAGACTCAGCGTCCAGCCACCCGGGGTGTGTCCCCTTCACCATTCCTCCCAGGGCTCGTGGCGTGAGGGTCCTGGCCTCCGTGGGTCCCGCAGAGCGTGGGCCTCCCTCATGGCCAGGGTGGTGCAGAGAGCCTGTAGCTGCTTCCTGGACCCCAGACTGCAGCTGTGTCAGCCCCTTCCTGTCAGGGTGACCAGCAGGGGCATGCAGCTAGGGCAGCCACCAGCAACACGAGCCATTACATGGCCCAGGTCACAGGTACGGCTGCCTGAGGCCTCCTGCCAGCCCCTGGGCAGGGCACCAGAGAGGCAGGCACGCCCTGGGCCTCCCGAGGGCAAATTCCATCCTGTGCCAGTGTCTCTTCTAAGGACCCAGGGATTAGTCCCCAGGCTCCGTTTCCTGACTTCGCTGCTGGCCTCAGCTTTTCTGGGCAGGTAATGGAAGTCCAGGGAGGCCGTGAGGTTTTATCGAAAGAGCCACGGAGTCAGCCAGACATGAATTTGAATCTGAGCTCTGCCACTTGATCTGTGCAGTGGTGAACACTTAACTGAATCATCTGTAAAATGGGCTTAATCATGCCTCCTTTTTCATAGTGCTGTGCAGACCGTGTGTGATGGAGTAGATGGCCTCTCACGCTCAGAGCACATTTCACACCCGTCGTCTGTCCGGGCTGCATCCAGTCACTGGTCACTGTCCACTCACTGCTAAGCATGCTCTGGGCTCTGGGCAAATAGGAACGAACGGTGTTCCCTGTTCTCACAGACTGCCATTCTGCTGGGGAATCTAGAAGATAAGAAAACTCACAAATAAATGAACAGGATAATTTCAGATCGTGACAAGAGTTACAGATAAAAGCAAGCAGGCTGATACAGCGATGCGACTTGGTGGGAGGCCTGGGGAGGCTTCAGGGTGCGCCCCGTTATCTGAACCTGCGATATTTGAGGCTGAAGGTGAATGGGGAGCTGGCCTTGCCAGGACCTGGGAAGAGCACACAGGGCAGAGGAAACCAGGAGTGGGCGGAGGAGGGACGGCGCCCGGCGCAGCAGTGGAGAGCAGAGGGTACCTGTCCTGGGGCCCCATGGACCTGGGGAGCCTGTGTGACTGAGGCAGGGCTCTGGAGCTGAGCCGTGCATGGTCCCCAACTCTTCCCAGAGGTGTCCCAGGCGCCTGGATTCACAGGGGCTGCAGAGGCTGTGGGAATGTAAGGCGACACTCCAGGTCTGTGGGACTCCAGCTGGGGGGAGTCTGTGGCACCTCCAGACTGCCTCTCTGCTCTCTGGTGACATCGTATCTCCCCGGGCTTTTCAGTGCTGCTGGGATGAAAGCAAGCAGCAGGGGAAGTCATGGACTAGGGGTGAGGCTGGCACGGGGGATCGGATCCAAGGTTTGAGACACTGCGGTGCCCGGCTGGCACACACATCCCGTTAGTGAGTAGGTGTGTTATTCCAGACTGAAGTAGACACACCACTTCCCGGGGTTCATGCCTATCGGTTTTTCTTACACTACTTCGTTATTAGGGCAAACGGTTGTTACGTTGCTTTGTCCTAACTACTCACTGAGCAGAACCCTTGTCTTTCTTTTGGCCCAGGGGACGGGACACATGGCGGGCTGGGGGGGCACTTTGCGCAGAGGCGGCTGGAAGCCCAGCCCGGACAGGTGGTGGGCGCGCCGTGAGGTCTTCCCGCCTCGAGCGCGGGCCTGGCCAGGTTCGCCTTCTCCCCGACTCTGGAGCGGGGTTTGGGGAGTCCGGGGTAACGCGGAAGGCCTCGGGGATGTCCTGACTGGGCGGGTCCCCAGCCGCCGACCACAGGGTCCCCCGCCCTGGGCTAACTGGCGTCTGGCCGAGGAACGGAGGCAGAGCCCCGGGCTCCCGTCCGCGTTCGGCGCGCGTTTGGGGTCCCGGGGATTCTCCCGGAACCGGCAGGGGGCAGGCTGGGCGCGCCGAGCCTCCGGATCTCCGGCGGGGAGGGGCGCGCGTGTCCTCGGAATCCCCGGGAGCGGGGCGCGCGTGTCCCCGGAATCCCGGGGAGGGGGCGCAGGCGTCTCCCCCAGAATCCCGGGGAGGGGGCGCGGGGGTGTCCCCAGAAGCCTTGGGTAGGGGCGCGGGCGCAGCGGGGAGGACCCGAAAGGAGGAGGACGCGTCTGTGGGGAGGGCCAGGGCCCCCTTGGGCCCTCTGACCACGGACTTCCCCGGCGGGGCGCCCCCAGAGCCGGAGAGGCCCTGGGACGTTTGGGGGCTGGGGTGGGAGCCGGGGTGGGCGAGGCCAGGAGAGGCGGCCGGCAGGGGGCAGCAGCGGGCCGCCGCCGGGGCCGCCCACGACAGGCACGCAGAGGCGCGCGCGCGGGCTCGGGCGTGTCGGGGGCGCGCGGGTGTGGCTCGGCGGTTTCGGGGGCGCGCGGGGGGGCTCTGGCGTGTCGGGGGGGCGCGGACTCGGGCGGGGGCCTCGGGG